CAATGACGCCCGCTTTCTCGGCGCAGTTGCGGATACCGACATGGGAGTTCTTCAATGAGACAACCCGGAACTTCGCGCCGTAATCGACCACCTTGAAGGTCAAGAAAGTTCAGTTCCACGTGTCTTGGCCCGACACTTGTCAAACATCAGAACCAGCAACCCTGCCTGGCTGCTGGTTGTTCCTGCCAGCCTACGAGAAGAAATCTTTGAAGCATGCCACAACGACCCGACGGCTGGACACCTTGGCTACAGCAGGACGCTCTCCCAGATTCGTGACAAATACCATTGCCCGAGACTCCCGAAATCCGTCCATCCGAACACGCGGTCGTGCCACGAGTGCCAACGACGTAAGAAGCCTTCGACGAAGTCAGCAGGACTCCAGCAGCCGACGTCTGCCCCGACTACGCCTTTCCAGCAGGTCGGAATGGATTTACTTGGGCCGTTCCCAACATCAACGCAAGGAAACCGGTGGATTATCGTCGCAACCGATTATTTTAGACGATATGTCGAGACAAAAGCCCTTCGATCCGGAATAGCGGTTGAAGTCGCCACGTTTTTTGTCAAGTCCATTCTCCTTTGACACGGCGCACCTAAACTGCTTGTCACACCTCGAGGGTCCTCTTTCATGGCAGAGCTGACTCAAAAGATTCTTCGGCTCAGTCACACCAGCCATCGACGAACCACCGCTTATCATCAGCAGACCGACGGCATAACGGAGTGGCTCAGGAAGACGATCACCAACCTGATCTTCATGTACGTCGACGTAGAGCACAAGACGTGGGACGAGGTGTTGACGTACGTTACGTTTACGTACAACACAGCGGTTCAAGAAACCACGAGAATGAAGCCGTTACAACTAGTTCACGGCCGAATATTTACCACGATGCTCGACGGCATGCTACCTCACTTGCCAACCGACGATGGATACGACGACGCTCAACTGATCTCTCAACACGCGGAGGAAGCTCAACTGCCAAGAATCAAGATTCAAGACCAACAGCGACGCGATGAACGCCGGTATAACCTTCTTCGCCGGGACGTCCACTTTCAACTCGGAAACTGGGTATGGGTGCGGACAACGATACGGCACTGCGGTCTCAAGGAGTATCTTCTGAAACGCTATTTCGGACCCTACAATATTATCCGACGCCTCGGCGATCTGAACTACGAAGTTCTCTCTGTCGGAACGCGCCAATCTGCAAGACGCCATTCCCTACCCGAGGTGGTGCACGTCGACCGGCTCAAGCCGTATTACGAACAATAGAACTTTGGACTCTCATCAAAGAGTGAACTGGAAACTGTTGCTTGCGATTCTGCTGTCCGTTTGTTGTGGACTTGTGTTTTCTGTGCTGCATTGGGATGATGTACTTTTTTTAAAGGGGGGATTAATGCCGCGAGCGCAGCTGAAGAAAAGTAGGCGTAACGGTAATCGTGCTTGGTTCCCAGGCAAAGGGCCACGGTTCGATTTAAGGCAGCGGACGTACAATTTTATTATCTCTTTAACTGTCGCATTCTAGTAAATTCGAGAACCCTGTTGTGTATTCGAGGTCTGAATGTTCAAGGCGCCGAATGTTCTACGCCGAATGTTCCATAAGCCCACGCGTGTACATAAGAAGCTCCGCGAGGCGAGCCGGAGTCAGTCTCGCCCCAGCGTTCGATCCTGCTGTTACGTCCACTTTGACGCCTTTGACGCTCTATTGCATAGCCTCCTCTATACGGAGAAAGCCTGGCACATCGACGGCGGAGCCATAGGGCGCGCGGCAGCAGAAAAAAGGAGAGGAGGAGCGCGCGAAGCGGTGACCAATATGGTAGCGCAGAGCAGAACGGGCAGAGATAGTCTGCGAGTGCTTGGGTCATGATCGGCCGCTCCCCGAACCACGTTTGTTTTCGTGTTTTCGTCACCGTCGTTTTCGTACTCCGGGAGAAACGGCTGCGGCGATTCGAAAGGGCGCTGGCAACAATGCACCATGCCGGTGGCGTCGGCAGAGTTGTCGGTGTGCCAGTGGAGTGCGGCGGCGTCAGACCATCGTGTCGTGCCGCGGAAGAACCAAACAGTTTTGACTAAGTAGTTTCGATGCCCAGGTGCCGAGGATACAAGTAACAGCGCTACAGGATAAAAGTTCGGCGTGTTCCAGCGAGCACTGCGGCCAACTGCGACGGGAAACGAAGGTGCATGCGCGCGTCGCAAAGACGAACGCTTTCAGGCCAGAGACCTCCAGCGCAAACGAAAGTGACGACCGGGACCGTTGCGGAGATGGCCTAGATGCGGACGCAGGGACGGCGAAGGGAAAGGGTTGACGTTGAGTTTCTCTTCCCCGCGATTCCGGAAAGAAAAGAGGAAAAAAAAAAGACTGTTTCTGTGCTTGGCCGCTCGCTCTTGTGTGGCGCTAGCAGGCAAGCTTCCCTCCGCTCCCGATTCCCCGCCCCTCCTCTCCTACTTTCTGCGGCCACTTTTTTTCGCGACGTGCCAGGCTTTCTCCGTATAGAGGAGGCTATGTCTATTGTTGTCTTCTGTTTTATATTTTTTTTTTTTTTGTGCACAAGTTCGCCCCATTAAACGTTTCAGTTTCCTCAGTTATTCCTTCTTCGACACCTCGCCATTCGTGACAGAAAGCCGATGACAGCTATCGCTGCAAATAAGTCCTGAAAACACGGTAGTTTTAAGCATAACCCACAAGTTCAGTTTTACATTGACTACCCTATATATTTTAATACAGGTGACGGGTCTTTTCGGAAACGCAGTCAAAGTCGCTCCTTCGAAAACTACGCATCTCTCAAAAAAAGGTCGATGCTGTACTGGTCTGTATCAAAAGGCCCATTAATAAGGATTATAAGCTCTCAGTATAATTAGGTAATAATTACATTGGTGTAATTAAACTGCTCATTGATGATTTTAAAGCTTTAAATTAGAATCTTGCTAGGCATCATCGAAAGCAACTAAATGCACCAAGATTGCAATGATAGATGTCGCACGCAGAATTTTACGGCGTTCCAAAGGAATGCTCAATTGAGACACGTTTCAGGGTTTCGTGTTTTTATCGAAGCGGATCTCGCGCAAGCAGTTCCGCTCCCCGTATCCGAAACGCGCATAACGTGCGCCGTTACGCATTGCACGTAGAAGTGGCTAAGTAAGAAAGACTCCGGACTGTCAACGGGGTTTACCTTTTTAATGTAGGTGCCAATGTGAAGATGCACCTTTACGTGCGATGCGGGTCGGCACACGCACGTTGTGCGTTTATTACACGGCGGGGGGGGGGGGGGGGGGGCGGAATTGCAAACGCGGAGATGGGCTCCGATAATAATTGAGAATTTGTTTGGAATGCTGTAAAATGCAGCGTGTGCCTTTTATCATTGCACTCTCGGGGTATTTATTCGTTTTCGATGTTGCCCAGCAAGATTCTAACTTAAACCATGCCTTTAAAACCAAATATTGACAGCTTAATTACTCAAGAAAAAGATGAATTACCCATTTATACTGTGTGGGAGACGAAGGTGAAAAAATGAGGTGGCTTACTTCGGCTATGCCAGGATAAACGTAGCGTGAGCTTGTGCGCGCAAAATGAGAGGCGCAATCAAGCAGCTCCAGTGCAGCGTCAGACTTGGCTACTGTGCAACGGAGGCGCACAGCTGGGCACGCGGCGTCGCCGGTGCGTCTGCAGCGGCTATCACGTCACTCCTCTGGAATGCACAGGCCGGCGAGGCGCGCACGGCGGCGGCGGAGCACGCGGCGGCGGCGGCTCCGGCGCGCCAGCTGTGCGCCATGTGACGTCACTGCTCCTCGCGCATGCGCAGTACGGCTTTTTGGGAGCCACGCGAACCTGCTCAACCTCGGCCAGTGTAGCTCACGCTACAAAAACGACGGGGCGGAGGACACGTGACAGGCGGTCGGCCGAAGAGTCACGAGCTGGCGCTAGACAGTGCGTGCTGCGCGAGGCTAGAGCCGGGCAGGAACGATGGAGCCGCTTTGGCTGGTCTGGCCCATGGCGATCCCTGGAGCAGTCCACCAGCAAGGTTCTGACCAGGACCGGGGGAATGGTGAGCCCTGGCCATCCCGGCCTGGGCCGTGACGTTCCTGGGGTGGCTCTGCAGCGAGACTCGGGCTATGATAGCCTAGGACAGCTAGCCTACGCGGCGCTGGCGTGGGAAGGACAATCCGCAGGCCGGGACACGGACTCCGACGGCGAGCTCTGAACTACGGGCGACAACCAGGGGTCGGCGGGCCCGGACTGCCGACTTTCGAGGACGGGCGACCGGGAAGTACAGTAAACCCATTCGCCGTACTCTAGTTGTGTTGTGTCACTCTTCGGGAGACGAGCGAAGCACATACCGATCGGGCGGCGATTATTAATAGAGCAAGCATACCACAACTGAAAGATAATATTTTTATTGCATTACACAGTCGCCCCTGAAGAAGAAACCAAGCAGGTTTCGAAACGTTGGGCTCCTTTTAATTTTTGGTTGGCGTTCCTTCCTCCTCTTCTAAATATTTTTAATTAATGGGCCTTTTTGCACAAACCACTACGGCATCAACCTTTTTTGTGCGATGCGTAGTTTTCGCAGGACGATTTTGTCCGCGTTTCAGGAAGCACCCAGTATACTTAATATATATGTATATAATAATTATAAATGCAATTTTATATGCTTTAAGAGTTTAGATATTTATGTACCATAGTCTCATTACATTGCTATAACAAAATAAAAATATATGCGAAGCAAAAATAACGTAAGGGCGGAAGTGAGCTGGTGTATACTGAACATTTGAAAGCAACCTGAGAGTGAGGAATGCGAAAGTTGACACCAAGAGAGAAGAAAAAGAACGTCTCAAGAACGTCTGCTTCTCTTCGCTCGGAGTAAACTTTCGCATTCCCCACTCGCAGGTTGCTTCGAAGTGAAATGCGACTAAAAAAATTAAAACAAAAACCTAAATGTGTTAGGGACTAATTAAGTGTCAAAAACAACTTATAAAACACGTTTCATTACCTTTTTTATTTGATTTTCAGATGCTTGGTGCAGTTCACGGGATAACGTTCGACTTTCAGTTCAAAACGTCTGACTACTTCATTCTCACTGACTCTAGTCCAACCTGCTTGACAATCCAGTTCTTATTTTCGGAAGAGGGAGTGGACAATCTTGGTGAACTCTGGGTGCATTATAAAACACTCACTTCAGAAAGGTAAGCTTAATGATTGTCTCACTTTATACGTAATACACCACTCTCTAAACGCATAACTAATGACATTTCAGGCACGTTCAAACAATACCGCTCATGTTTAAAGAACCAACTGAAAGCAGACTAGGGAACACTCTCATTTTCGAGTTTCCGAAGCCACCTAAAATTGGTATGAATGAAAGATGTATTTTAAGCATGCTGACATGAGTCCGGAAATATATTTAAAGACATTACGCAGGTAGTTGTTGACCTTCCAGAATTGAAGCTGAAAATTTGTTGTATAAGATTTATCTAAAATGATGTTTTAGTTTAAATCTTGTCAATATTGCGTATTTGAATCTATTTGAGAAGCTCCCAGTTTGAGACTGCCAGTGGTAAAATCCCAATTGATCTTTATCTTTTTCACGGAAGGGTGAGACAACTTATTGGGATTCTATTTGCTTTGTTCCGTTTCTTCTTTTGCTCCTATTTGGTGCAAAGAAAAGTTGTTTCATTCTTATTAGACGTAGTCAACATTGGTTGAACATGTCTGGCCTTTCCAGCTGCACAACTTCAGGCCTTCTTCTAGGACAAGCCTTTTTTTTTTTTTTAGACGTATAGTGGGGCTTTTTCTGGTCACCGTTTTTGTTGAAGATAAAACTGACGCACACGTTCCTTCGGCCGATCCAAGTTGATTATAGTGACAGCCTGTACCTTTGGCGGAGCGGTTGAGCGAGACGTTACATTGCTGGCGTAGAACGCTAGATTGTCTAACATGAATCGCAGCGCCCATTTAGGTACAGTGTAGGGAAAAACAGGGTATACGAGATACATAACTTTACCTTTTGTGATAATCAGACATCGAAGGCTCAGTTAGGATCAACACAATCAATTACATTTAACACGGGTGCCTCACCTCTGTCACTGCTTAAAATCATTATAGCTTTTATAGACAGTAAGTTCTTTCTACGTTTAACTTAGCACGATTAATGAACAGGCACTCTCTTCAACGGTGAATGCCAACATTTTAATCAGCACATTCCCAGCTGTAGAAACCGCGTTTCTTGACAAATAATCAACTGTATTTTCATTTCGAGCAGTTTATTAGTATGGTTGTAGCGTCTAAGAAACAGGCACTTGACGACGACAAGAAGAAAAAGGATAACCGAAACACGATACCCGCCAAACTGTGCCTACGAAGCGATTCTCGGTATGTACATTGCTGCATTATAGAGCTGCTAGAGTCCTGAATGTAATATCTCCGAGTCATTAATGAACCGGAATATACAACAAAGTGGCGACGACGAACGAGGGTTGTGATGGCCAGCGGAGCTCCACGCGACCATCAAATGGCAAAAGCGATGCGCGGCCAGAGCGCGTGTCTTCAGAGCACGAGCTGGACACAAGAGCCTTCGATGGCACAGGCCAGTTGTGCCGAACACTGATCTATCCTGGTCAATACACCTAAGTATTCGGGGGGTAGCGGCCTGGTCTATGCGAATATGACACTGGCGATGAGGAACCAAGAACCAACAAAGTCTAGAATCACCGACCACAAGCCATAGCCATGCAAGGGAAGCTGGAAGCCTTCTGAGGCAACTAGTGTAAATCGTGGTTCGAACGTCTTGCATTTTACTTCGTGGCCAAAGCATCAACGCCATGGATAAAAAGCGAGCGCTCCTTTTAACGCTGTGTGGCCCTAAAACTTACGAACTGGTACGAGCAGGGCACCCAGAGGACCCAGCGATGTTGAATTCGATTAGCTTGCGACCATCCTTGGTGCTCACTTCGACCCTCGAACTTCAGAGCTCCATAGTCGGTTCAAATTTCAACGGCGAGACCAATTGCCGGAAGAATGAATAAGCAGCTACGTTGCGGCTCTCAAACAGCTGGCAGGGGACTGCAACTTCTGCAGCAAAGGCTGTTTGCTGAGGACCTAACGTTCCCCAGCGTATTGGACATTGCTATCACAGCAGAGAGCGCCTACAAACAACAAAAAGCCCAAGAACAAAGAGGAGCTCTAAATAAACAAGACTGTGAAAGCCGACAAGGATTCTGCTTCACACAAAGAACGCCGGTGCTACCGATGAAGGGGTCAGCACGAGCTACAAGAGTGCCGATTCCAGAAGACTGAGGGTCGGTACTGTAAGAAGACTGGACATATCGAAAAGGCGTGTCTGGTGAAGAAGCAACAAAGCGGAGCAGGGCACAAGAAAACCAATCACAACGCTGCAGGAGTGATGAAAGTTGTTTGCCAGCCGACGTGTTCTCCCAGAAGTTCGTTTGACGAACTGAAGAAGCTGTCCACGGGAAGGCACGTTCCCGAATTTCACGTTTCTCGTCTGAATGAGGGCAAGCCTCTTCAATTCGAGGGTGATTCTGGCTGTGCCAGTTCACTGATTAGCAAAGAGACATTTCACCCCGAAAATCACGAAGAATAACTTGGAACCTTACACTTGGAGTGGTGAGGGCCTGAAACTTATTGGGTTGCTTCAAGTCCATGTACGTTTCAAGTCAAAATTTTATATCCTGCCGCTGCTGGTGATGAAAAGGTCCGGTTGAAACCATTTGGGCAGAGATTGGTTCGACGCACTCTACATCAGAGTACAGGGGATCAACCTGGTGGAGCAACAAACCACACCCCCAGAAGTGGAAGCAGTCCTTCAAAAACATGCCAAGGTATTCCGGGACGACATCCGCGGCTACATGGGACCCCCAGCGCACTTGGAACTGGAGGAAGGAGCAACGCCGAAGTTTTGTGAAGCTCGCCCGGTTCCCCTCGCTCTCCTCTCAGCTGTAATTTTCTAGCTTCAGCAACTACAGCACCAAGGAATCATTGAACCAGTCCAGCACGCTGAATGGGCTACGCCTCTCGTAATCGTCCGGAAAAGGAGCGGAGCCATCAGACTGTGTGGCGAGTACCGGAGCACTGTGAACTCCGCATCAAAAAAGTCAAGTTATCCGCTACGTACGTCAGGAGAAGTCCTGTCAAACCTCAGAGGAGGAACCCTCTTCTCCACAATGGACTTGTGCCAAGCGTACCAGCAGTTCAAAGTGACTTAGTCCACGGCAGCTGTCCTGACAATCAACACAATTAAAGGGTTGTACAGAGTGACACGGCTGTCGTTTCGAATTTCAGCAGCGCCAGCGATCTTCCAAAGGATGACGGAGACGACACTAGCTGGCTTCGAAGGTATAAGTGCCTATCTTTACGACATCATTATCAGCGGAGCAACCATAGAAGAGCATATTGAACGTTTGGACCAAGTTCTGTCCAGGCTAGACAGCTCCGGTCTGAAACTCAAGAAAGAAAAATGCAAGTTTGCAGTCAGCGAGGCTTCATTTCTGGGACACAGTATTGACCCCGCAGGTGTTCATACAACCGCCGACAAGGCGCAAGCGATCCTCGTTGCTCCAGAGTCAACAGGAAAAGAGGAACTGAAGCCTTATCGGGGTTGCTTGCGTTCTGTGATCGCTTCCTCAAGAACAGGGCTACAGTCGCAGCAGACCTTTACAAGCTTCCTGAGAAGGACAAGCCATGGCTCTGGACGGGCAGTCACAGGGATGCATTTCGCAAACTTAAGGAGTTGATCAAGGACTCTACCATTCTCAAGCATTAGGCAGAAAATAAGCCCCTGCAGCTGTCTGCAGTATTGATCCCAGCAATCCGACAGAAGACATTCCAAACTTCAGGACAGGGTTGGGCAGTATCGCGATACAAATGTATCGCGATAGTATTTCAGAAATACATTTCGTATCTGTATTTCTGTATCGCGATACATTTTTTTCACCAGTATCTGTATTCCTGTACCGAAATACATTTTGAACGTTCCTTTGTATCGCGATACAATCACGACGAAGTGTATTTCGTTACAATTCTTGAAAAATACTCCCCCCCCCCCCCCCCCGAAAAAACAAAAAAAAAGAGAAACAAGTTCGAAAGCATTTTTTTTTTTTACCTCTAGGGGCACCAGAGTCAAGGAGATTCTGGGGTATTGTTACTATGCTGACCAATTAGTTCCTTTTGATTCTGCAAACTATTTTTCTATTAGTCCTCTTCTCTCTTCTGAGAAGTGTTGCATAGTGGGAAACTCGAACCAGGTGGCGTGCCAGGAGTGGAGTCAGAGCATCTTCTGCCGCAGGTCTTTAGGTAGGGATTTCTTGAGTCATTGTTTCCTGGCATCCAATGCCCGCTGCTTACCGTCTCTCTCGACTTAGCGTACAAAGTACACCCTGCTGGCAAAGCTGAGTCACATTCCGTTGCAGCACGAGCCAGGCGGTGGCTGACTTGAAATAGTAGGAAGACTCATGCTGTGAAGTTCGACACATATCCGAATGCATCTGCGGCTGCGCCCGTAATATTGCACGGCTCAAGGGTACGTCATCAGCCGACGTGAACGTGACCCGCTGCTCTGGTGATCCGAAACCCAGAAGGAGGCCAGAAGTGGCAACGCTGTGCCATCCTAGATTACGTAATCCCCCAACTAGTCTCGAGGCCGCCGTTTCTTGGACAGCTCGCACCTGTGCCGGCAATATCAGCTCGTAATCCACGAGGTCTCTGTTTGGATAATGCTAGGCAAAACTTGAGGACTGCAATCCGTGCGTCGGTGGCGGAGGGCCGGTAGTAAGGACCTTCAGAACAGGGATGCTACCGTATCGTTTTTTCAACTGTAAAACAGAAGATAAGACATGTATTCCAAGATTCTTCAGGTGGTCCACTATTCTCAAAAACTCCAAATGACACTGCAAGCACGATCTTCAGCTAGGTAGCCTACAACGAAAGTGCGCATTGTCCTTTCATACAGCAGCGTGGTAAAGTTTCATGTTCAAGGCCGCACCTACAGATAAAGAATTCTAGTTCATTCCGCCGTGACATAATGTGATCAATGTTGACAGGATTCCCTCGTCAGACAGACAGGATGTCATGGAAGGGACCGCGGTCAGCAATTGTTGGAACGTTTTTTTGGGCGCATTCAAAACTCCTTGTCGTCCGAAACCACTACCTTCGAGGCAAAGTGCCAAGCCTACGGGAACGTAATTTCGGGATCGAAAACATCCACTTCAAACTTCAAGCTTCATCTCAGTTGGCGTCTCAAAAAATTTGAAAAATGTATTTCAGTATCAGTATTTCTGTATTTGTATTTCTGCCCTCCCTAAAATGTATTCCTGTATTTGTATTTCCAAATACTTTTTGCCTCTTTTTAAAATGTATTTCCGATACGCATCGC